GTAATAATAATCCAATAATATAATGTATAACAATATAACCATCACAGAGTACTTTTGATAGTTTAAATACATTTTTAGTATTTTTACATTGTACAATCTGAATACTTCTACCGCCGCAGTATAAATAAGCCAACTTATAGTAGTTGTAGTTCCAGTGTCAGTGGTTTTAGTACTGCTGGTAGTTGTAGTCCGAGCTCTAGCAGTCTCAGTATGAGCGTACCGAGAGCAGTGAAGGACTCCTCGTTCAGGCTGCAGCTGTTGAGCGGCAGACGCCTCATCTGTGTCAGAGGGAGGGCGGAGACCAGCGAGTGGACCGCGCCCCCCGCCTCCTTATTGGACGACACGTCGAGCTCCGTGAGCGCCGGCAGCGAGGGAAGCACCTGGACTGGAGACAACGAGTCACATGACTGCTGCTGAGGCTTCACACACACACATTTAAAACAGAGACTCACTCAGGGCTTCCAGGTCGGTGTGTGTGAGACGGCAGAGGTGAAGGTCGAGGCTCTCCAGGTGTGTGAGGTGAGCCAGGTGGGGGGCGAGGCGGTCCAGACCTCCAGCCAGACTTTTGTTACAGGACAGGTCCAACTGTCGCACTGCGGGGAGGCAGCGGAGCGAACCACCTGCAGCACATCAACACACAACTCAAACAGCAACAGACACAACACATCTCCAGCATCAGGACCAACTGAGACCAACAAAGATCTCCTACCGAGAGCGTCGAGGCTGTCCGTCGTCAGACCGCAGGCCTGTAACCGAAGCACGGTGAGGGGCGCGGCGTGGGCGAGCGAGGACGCCAGCTCTCTGAAACCGCCGGCATCAACTTCCTGTGTGAGCTGAGGATTACAGGAGATGTCCAACACGCAGAGTCTGTGGAGAGCAGACACCATTCCTCCTGAGAGGGACAGACACAGGGACAACAGACAGAGGGGATGTACGCTGTGGCATTATGGGAGACGTAGTTCCTACCTTATGAGAGTATTTCTAATAGAAGTTAAAGGGGGTACCCAGTACGGCAGCATCGTCCGCAGTGAGCTGGCAGGCCACCAGGTGGAGCTCCCTCAGCGGGGGGTGAAGTTTACCCAGCAGGCCTTGCAAAGCGCCGCCCCCGACGCCACTGTTCCAGGACAGATCGAGGATCTCTAAGAGAGGCACGCAGCCGAGAGCTTCACCTACAAACACACAGACGCCTTTAACTTCACCTCCTCTGACACGAGACCGCTCGTAGCTTTTTGGGGGGGTTTTGATCGAAACCGGAACAGCGACCCACCCAGAGCGGTGACGTCATCGGCGTTCAGCCTGCAGCTGCAGAGCCTCAGCGCTCGGGTCCCGCCCACGTGCTGGAGGTGAGAGGTCAGCGCCTTCAGACACCCGCCTATCAGCTCGTTCCAGGAGACGTCCAACTCCTCCAGCTGAGGGAGAAACTGGAGCAACGTCGCTGAGGGGAGGAGAGGAGGACAGACGACGCTGTCAGCAGACACAGCTCAAAGTTTCTCCTCACCGAGGAAACTGACGACCTCTGATTTAATGAATCTCAGACTGTAACTACGTACAACCTCGGGGTTTTGCTGTCTCATTTGTCTGATGTGACCAGTAGCTTGTGGTGGAAAACCATGTTAGCAAACTTTATGGAAGTGCTGTCTGACTGACATTAAAGTAAAATTATTACTAGAATTATTACTCTCTGCCAATAGTAATCAGTTACACTACTCCTTATATTACCTTTCTGCTCCCTACAAATCAGTAATTGTGTCCTTTCTCCCTAAAATTCAGACTTAAGACTTAAAAACCAGTTTAGTTTGTAAGTAATGTGAATGTTTCCATCCTCCAAACTACTTTCCTCCACGATTACAGAAATGAATCCAAGGATGTGATTGGATATTAAACATTTTAGCAGTTACAGTAGCACTATAACTCCATATTTGCTCACTTGTTGTTATAGTGGCAACTGTTCAAATAAAACAACATACTATTTCTTAAATCTAAAATTGTACTCGACTTAACTTCCAAATGTAAAATGTTTCTTTTCAGGTTGGAAAATCCTCTGAAATAGAATTCAGGCTCATTCTGAGGTAACAAAAACACAACAATTCCTACATTCAGGTGATTATACATTAATGAACACACACCTATGAATGTTATTACGTTTCTGCCAATAGATCCTCCTCACTGTTACACACTGGAGCTTTAACGAGACACTGAACGGCCTCAGAAAGTGAAGGTTTTGATAGTTTGAATAACGACAGTAATTAGGGTCAGAATCAGAGTAAGTGTGAGCACCTAGCTCCAGCAGGTCTGTGGCAGTGAGATCACAGTGAGCCAGGCTCAGGCTCCGGCCGTCGGCTCTCTTCCCCAACCTCTGCAGGAAAACACACACTCGACCCCAGCCGACGTCACGCTCGCTCTCCACTGACTCAGCCACACCTGAAGCACAAACACGCATTTCACACGTTGGACCTCTTCTGTCAACTTAACCTGAACATCTTCCTCTTTTCCTTCAGTGGTTCTGTAATAAACTCATCGCTCAGTATGGACATTGAGATAAACTGGGTTGTTTCTGGCATTGTGTGTATTTAGGATTTTGTATTTATTGACACATTTTTTATGCTTGCACTCGTGTTTGTATCAATTCATGCAAGTTTTTAATGTCTTTTTTGTGGATGTTTTTAATCTGTTATGATTGTGACACTTTATTTAAAGCATTTGCTAAAGAAAAAATGTCACTTTGGATAAATTTAAGTCGTCTTTTCACACGAATAAACATCAAATATTGGCTTTTTTTTGGTACCACAACTAATAATTTACCTAATTATCTCCCTTAACTTGTTGGGAATTGTTGAGTCTCTGTAAATAATATTATAGAGAGACATTTTGCAACACTCTGATTTAGGATATAAGACTTAAACCGGGTCTTCTCCAATGAAACAACCTCCTGAGCTCTGTCCTCTGTCCTCTCTGCCCTCCGGCTCTCCGTCCTCCGGGATCCCCGTCCGGTCTGAGGTCCAGGACAGGAGGCGTCCCAGCGGCTTCCTGTCCGACGCCGTGCGTTTCCTGCGGATCTGGCTCATGATGACGTCGAGGGGGGAACGCCTCTGACTGCCGCCGTCCCGCCCCCCCCGCTGACCATCTGACCAATGAGAGGAAGCAAACAGTGTCACCATCTGAGTGAACTGACCATAAAACAAAAACACATTAAGCTTTAAATGGTGCTTAATTTCTCATTTAAATGTTACAATTCAAACGTTTTAAAGGTGTATTAATAGTTGCTTTATAGAGTCTAATAATTAAAGGTTTTTAATGTCAATGTGCATGTTTACAGCTTTATTAATGTTAAATTATTGTGAAATAATCCAATAAATGACCCCTGACTGACAATGTTTTTCCTTATGACATCAGCTTCTTGTATAACTACTAAAATAAGAAATAGTTAGTCTAAGATTAAGAGTATTTCTCGAACATGTAAGACTTTATTGATCCCTAGAGGAAAAATTAGATGTTATTCCATTACAGGAGACAGACCAGACAGAGAGACAAAGAGGATAAAAAACAAACAGGAGAATTAAATGAATCAAAGTTAATTAAAACTGAGGAGAGTAAACAGTAAATGTATCATTAGAAAGTGTTTAAAATGAGCGCTGGCATCAAATAATAATGTAAAATGTATCTCGTCAGTATTAGAAACCTTATTTAAGTTGGAAGGAAGTTGAATTTAATAAAAATAAGTAATTAATGTATTATATAAGAAATTAAATGAAAGTCCCTTAATAACAACTCCTGTGAACAAAATACCTCATAACAGCTTAAAATCCTCATTTTAACATTTTTAAATGTTAATTTTACAGGATGATAAAAACTATAAAAAGAGTTCATTGTCTATCAGTCGACTTATTGATCAATCGATGAATGGTTCCAGCTGTATTTGTATCAACTCTTCCTATGTTTAGTGTGTAAAAAGTAAAAGTACAATGTGCAGTATTTCCCTCTGAGGTGTAGTGGAAGTAGAAAGCTCTCATGTGAAGTTCAAGTACCTCAGATTTATACTTTAGAGGAAGAAGCCTCGTATACAGAAATCAGTGTGTGTCTGCAGTGTGTGTGTG